TTTTTTGCTTCTTTGTCAAAAATCAGGTGTTTGTAGATGTGTAGATTGGTATCTGGGTCTTCGATTCAATTTCATTGGTTCTCCTGTCTGTTTTTAAGCCAGAACCAGGCTGTTTTCAGTACTGTAGCTCTGTAGTAGAGTTTGAAGTCAGGGATTGTGATGCCTCCAGAAGTTCTTTTATTGCCCAGGATTGTTTTGGCCATCCTGGGTTTTTGCTTTTCCATATGAAGTTGAGTATTGTTCTTTCAAGGTCTGTGATGGGACTTTGATGGGCAATGCATTGAATCTGTAGACTGCTTTTGGTAGAATTGCCATTTTTTTCTATGTTAATTCTGCCTACCCAAGAGCATGGAAGATCTTTTCATTTTCTGGTGTCTTCTTCAATTTCTTTCTTCAAAGATTTAAAGTTCTTTTCATATAGGTCTTCCACTTGTTTGGTTAGAGTTACTCTGAGATATTTTATGCTATTTGTGGCTATTGTGAAGGGTGATGTTTTTCTGATTTCTTTCTCAGCCCATCTGTGTACAGGAGGGCTACTGATTTTTTTAAAGTTAATCTTGTATCCTGCTACATTACTGAAGGTGTTTATGAGTTGTAGAAGTTTCTTGGTAGAATTTTTGGGATTGCTTGTGTAAACAACTATCATGTCGTCAGCAAATAGTGAGAGTTTGACTTTTTCTTTTCTGATTTGTATCCCCTTGATCTCCTTTTGTTGTCTTACTGCTCTAACTAGGACCTCAAGTACTATATTGAATAGATATGGAGAGAGTGGACAACCTTATCTTGTTCCTGATTTCAGTGGAATCGCTGTAAATTTCTCTCCATTTAGTTTGATGTTGACTGTTGGCTTGCTGTATATTGCCTTTATTATGTTTAGTCATGTTCCTTGTATCCCTGCTCTCCCCAAGACCTTTATCCTGAAGGGATGTTGTATTTTGTCTAAGTTTTTTTTCAGCATCTAATGAGATGATCATGAGGCTTCCCCCCCCCCCCAGTTTGTTTATATGGTGGATTACATTGACAGATTTTTGTATGTTGAACCATCCCTGCATCTCTGTGATGAACTTGACTTGATCATTGTGGATGATTTTTCTGATGTGTTCTTGGATTCTGTGTGCCAGTATTTTATTGAGTATTTTTGCATTAATGTCCATGAGTGAGATTGGTCTGTAATTCTCTTTCTTAGTAATGTCTTTGTGTGGTTTGGGTATCAGGGTAATTGTAGCCTCATAAAAAGAGTTTGGCAATGTTCCTTCTGTTTCTATTATGTGGAAAAATTTGAGGAGTATTGGTATTAGTTCTTCTTTAAAAATCTTGTAGAATTCTGCACTGAAAGCATCTCTCCAGGAAATCTTGAAGGCAATGTCTCCTCATCTGCTCAGGGCTTAGCAATGATATTCCTTGGTCCCAGAGTCCTTCTTTAGCTCCCAGCCTAGGTAGGACCCCCAGTTTATACAGCGACACCTGTCTTACTTATGTGGTGACCCATCCATCTATGTGACTTTTCCTGTGGCCAAAGACTTTGCTGCTTTGTTCATTAGTGTCTCCAGTCTCTGACACAAAACATTAGAATGCAGCAGAAGTTCAAACACACACACACACATACACGCGTGCACACACATACATACACACACACACATACACGCGTGCACACACACACACACCCTCATTGAGACAGTATCTTGATATTTAGCTCAGGCTAGGCTTGAACTTTGATCCCCCTTCCTCATCCTTCCAGCACTGGAATTACTGGTATGCATCACTACACTTACCTAAGGAATGCTTGATGGTTGAATGAAAAAGTGTGAATGAGTTTGGCTAGGTGACAGATCAAAGATTTTAGAGTCGGAGTTATAGCAGTGACTGTGTCACTCCCTGATGGACAGTCATGGGCAAGTCATTCACTTCTCTCAGCCTCCGTTCCTCCCTTGACAGGGACAGTATTAACTTCCATGTTGAAAATCAATGCCAGCACCTTGCCCGTGTCTGTCAGTGCCAGACACTGGTAGGAGTTGATGAAATGGTTGTCATGAATGTAACAAGTACACAGTACTTCATACTTACTACACAAGCATCTGTTCTGCCCCAGATATCCAGTTTGTCGAATGACACAGAGATCTGTAAGCCATGAAGAGATCGTGGTGGTATAGATGACCAAATACACAAGAACAAAGTGGTACGTCCATCGAATTCTAGAATCTACCCCCTGGACCAGCACTTTACAGTTTACAGACCTAGCTCAGTACATTACCTCCTGAGTTGCTGAGGTCAGCAGGACAGAGAGCAAAGGCTGAAGAGGTGGCCCAGGGTGACACTTCTCCCTTGTTCTGCCATTGTCCCTCTGGCTCCTCTTTCCTAGCCCTCCAGCATGTGGGGCCCTGTGTGGTTGCAGGAGCAGCAGCTCCAGGGCACTCTGCCCCTTGCATGCTTCCTGCTCCAGCTCTTCCTCCACAAACCCTCTATTAGTCTACGGAGGAAAACAAATGAAGTTAGAAGGAAGAAGCAGTTGCTGGGCTTCCAGCCTCTCAATCGGGAGGCACATTAGTGAGGGAGGGACTCAGCCCTGCCACACACGAACTGTGCAAACTCCAGGAAGTTACTTGGCTTCTCTGTGCCCCACTTCCCCCACCTGCTTATCGGATGATGATACACCTAGTTCTTGCACTGTTGTGAGGCTTGCTCAGAACAACACCTGGTGCATACAATACATTCAGCGTGTATTTGATCCCCAAATTACTACTGCAATCCCAAACCTAGTGTTCTTTTTCCATAACCTAAGGAAGAAAGTTCATGGATTCTCAATTGCCAGCATGTTCACAATTTTGCATATATACTTATATCCATATACACATGTATATAGAATGTATATAAGAATACGTAGTATGGATGTGTGTGTATATATGTATATACTAATATAAAATCTTTAGAGGGCCTTGTGCAATCAGCAAGAAATAGTCATCATCCTTTCACAGAGCAGAAAACTGAAGCAGGGAATGACGAGGCTATTCAAGGTCACACAGGTGTAATTTAGGAGGAAGCTGCTTTGCTCACGACTCTGTAGGTAAGTCCCTATTCATATCTGCTCTGAAATAGGAGGTACTCCAGCCTTTACCAGATTTGCAAAACCATTTAATTTCCTCTAAGCATGCACGATTAATATAAGCAAGACCAAGGCTCCTGGTGATTTAGCCTTGAGGAAAACTACTGATCCCAGAAGGTCCACTTGGAGCTCCCTTGCAGCCAACCGATGCTCTTTCCTTCCAATAAGCAGCTGTTTTGGATGCAGGTCTGGGCCAGGAGTCATGGGGAGAGGGGAGACAATGATAATTTTCCCACGGGGATTTATGGTCTAGTGTAGAAATGGGGGGGCATGCTGTATCTTCTTAGGGCTGGGATCCTCAGGTTCAGGATTCTGGGAGACGGTGGGTATGAAGCACACTCTGATTTCAAGTTGTCACAGTGCCGTCAGAGGACTTGAACCCCAGAGGTATCCAGGGGAGAAGGAGTGGATCTCGGAAAAGAATCCATGGAGGCATTCATCTGTTCGCTCATTCGTTCATTCGTTCATTCATTCATTCATTCATTCAACCTTTGTTTGTTGTGCCCTTGGTGGACAGTGGAGATCTGAGCTTATGGCTGAAGTCACAAACATCTTTTTTTTTTTTTTAAATTAGAGAGTGTTAGTTTCCGTAATCAAACCCAAATAGCTAAGACACATACTAAACACAATATATTACTCTCCATACATAGACTTAAAACAAGTGCCGCCAGCAAACCTGGGTGCAGGGGTGTATGTCTTCAGCCCCAGCACCTGTGGGGCAGAGGGAGGCAGGTTTCTGTGAGTTTGAGACTAGGCTGGTCTACAGAGTAAGGCCCAGGACAGTCAGGGTTACACAGTTAGACTCTGTCTCAACAAAACCAAGCAAACCCGAATTACGTGCCCCCATAATTGTTTATCACGACTGGTTGTTGAACACCTACTATGTGGTAGTCATGTCGCACACCGGGCTGTGTGACTCCTAAGGTTAGGGTGTGGTGTAGGTTTGGAAATTGGATTATTTGAGTCATGAAAAGATCTGTGCACTAACACCCACCCATGATACACAGCTTCATGATAAAATGACCTCATCACCAGCTGAAGTGATACGGTATTTCCACTCGGCCACGTCACCTCGCCGGACTCTTAGTCCCATGGCCTGCTCCCCCTTCTCTGACCCCCACTGGCATTTTGGGTACACAACTGCCTTAATTTTATGTTTAGGTTTTTGCTTTGCCACATATGTTTTTGGCCCACAAGAGAGAAGACCCCATTTAACTTTGCTTGGCCTGGACGTGACTGCGGCATTTTACAATGTGTCTTCTCAGCCTGCTGTCCTCCTCACTCTCTGAGGGTCACACATCCGTGCCCGTGGGAATCCTCTGTTCATTCCCTCAGCGTGGAATTTCACGAGGGCTAGATCACATTTTATCCATCTGGTTTTCTCCAGAAGGTTATCTAGATTATTTCCTTTTTTTTTTTTCTTTTTCTTTTTCTGTTACAAACAAGGCCGCAAAAGAAACTCTTGATCCCGTCCTTAGAGTACCCAGCAGAAGTGTTGTGTGTGCAGGGGGACCTCTTGCGCCTTTGGGCCCATTTTGCTTAATACAAACTAAAAGTCGTTGTACCTGTTTCCGTTTAAAACTGGGGGGAGGAGGCAGCTGGAGAGGTGGCTCAGCAGTGAAGAGCACTTGCTGCCCTTGCAGAGGACCCGTGTTCACGCACAGCGCCCACAACCTTTCGTAACTCAAGTTCCAGGCCATCTGACGCCCTTTTCTTCTCCACGGCACTGGGCACACGTGTAGTGCCTGAACGCGTGTGCGCACACACACACACACATACACACACACACACCACACACACCACACACACACACACACACACACACACACACACACACACAGACAGTACCCGTATATGCAAAGCAAACAAATATTTAAAAATTAAACAAAACAGGCCAGGCGGTAGTGGTGCACACCTTTAATCCTAGCACTCCGGAGAGAGTGGCCTCTGTGACTTGGAGGCCAGCCTGGTCTACAAAGTGAGTTCCAAGACAGCCAGCGCTGTCTTGAAAAACAAAACAAAACAAGACACACATTAAACAAAACTGAAGGAAATTCTTCTGAAGGGCTACTTTGGGCTTCGGTTAGGGGGCTCCAAGGTGTTGACCGGCTAGCTGTCCTGAGACTGACCTTGGGAGATATCGCTGCCTGTCGTTTACCTGGTAGTTCAGAGCACGGCACACTTTTGATAGTTTATCTCAGCTGAGCCTCTGAGGTCGGAAACACGTGCTGTTATTGACTGACCCTTGGGAGAAGAGAAATTGACTTCTGGTCTGACACAGGAGAACGGAGTAAGACCGAGGCAATCCTTGTGTTCTTTCTAATTAGAATTCAGTTCCTCAGCTTTGGCATCAAGGCCATGGCTAAGTCTCGGTGGATCCTGGCCTCTCCTCTCTCTGGTTCTTTTCCCCTCCACTCTCCCACCAATGGTTATTTCTTTCCTTTTGATTTTTGGTTGAGTAACACATTCAAAGAGTTGGAAATGCAAATGAAGGACTGTACTTTGTAAAGACTCGATCCTACTTGCCCGGACTCGCCTATGAAAGGTAACCCACTTTTATTAATTTCTCACCTGTTCTTCTAGAATTCTCGTTATGTAAAAGCTTTTTCTATGATAGACTAGATAAGGTATTACATACATGATTCTGAATTTTCAAGTATCCACACACCATGGGTTAAGAATAGCTGTGTGTGATTGTACACGCAAGACCAAGCTAGCCAATAGCCCAGCGAGGATGGGGCGGGGCAGGGCTCCTGAAATCCCATCACTCTAGGTAGGCAGTTGGTGACTGCTGGGGGGAGGGAGTGGAGCTAATTTTCTCCCAGGATGTAGCTACTAGGAGGCTGCCCTTCCACAGGGGCAGCACTAGAGGGACTCAGAGGATTTGAGAAAGAAAGCACATGAGGAGAGAATGCTAGGGGTGAGACACAAGGGAGGAGTGGAAGGCGAGGGGTGGGGGTTGGGTTTCATCAAAACACATTATCTGAGTGCATGAAATTCTTAAACAAAAAACCAGAAATGTTGAAAAACAAAGTAATAAGTTTTTGGTCCTCATCAAATTTATTTAATTAAAAATAACTATGCAGCAGTCCGTTATCTCTGACTAATATTCATTTATCCTCTCCTGTCTACCTATCTATAAAGCTGAGTGCTAAGGGGAGGATTTAAAATGATGCAACGAAACAGCCCTTCCCTAGGGACTGGGAGCCTGAGAGGCAGAAAATATCAAGTTCAGGGCTATGTATCAATAATAACAACAAAAGACAAAACCCACAAGCTCCAACTCAAATAGCAAAAAGTACCCCTTCTTCCCAAACAAAAACAAAAGTAGGCCCTGCCTTCAAGGAGACTGCAGAGGAAGCATAACAAACAATAACAAGTTCTGTGCATTCCAGAGCTACAGAGTCCCAATGGCTCTCAGCACTGCTCTGGACCCAGGAGACGAGGGTAAATAAAAGCCATGGAAGTCCCCTCTGTGGCTCTGGTGTAGCTGACATTGGTCACAGTGAGAGAACAGGGAGGTTGTTATGGCCTCTGCCAGACTTGTCTATAAACATGGCTGCACCGTGGGTGCCAGGCCAGGTGTCTGACTGTAGGCCGAGCTTGAGAAGCTACCTGTGACTGAGGGATAGACAGGCCACCAGCTAGGCAGAGGCGGAAGAGCTCTGTTATAGGGAAGCAAACGGCAGGGAAAACGGGCATTTCCCCAAGTCCTCTTGGGCAGTCTGGGGCCTAGTATCCAAGCCTTGTTTGTTTGATAAGATTTGACTTTGTTTCTTCCCAAGTCCCCAGAGTATACGGCACAGGAATACTAGCCTGGGCTCTCACCCTTCAGCAGCCGCCCAGGGGTGCTTGGCTGAGCCACCTGTGGTGAGCAGGGGCAATGGGATCAATAGGAAAAAGACTCAGGTCTTTTCCTTGAAGGGACAGTAATAAAGAGGGCCTGGGATGTCTGTCACAACCCCCTACCTGGGCCTCCTGTGGGTGCCACTGCGGTGGGCCAAAGTTCCTGTGCTTGCTGGCATGGATACTAAGAGCTGGTCTCGAACTCAGAGTCACGGTAGGGTGTGGCAGCCCACAAGGAGCTATTATTTTGGCTCTGTTTGTGAGCTCAGTTACTCTGCCCCGAGGACTGGTCGGCACATCGCCTAGCTGTGACAGAATAGTTGTGAGTCTCCAGGCCTACAGGTCCCCACTCTCTGACTCTGAAGAGAACACAGAATGTGTGCCCTGGGCTCTGTGAGGCTGTAGCCGAGCCTCCCCTTTTAGCATCAAGGTGTCCAAAGCTCTTTCACGCCAGCTGAGAGCTCATTGCGGTCTCAGGATCACTTCGTGGGTGGGTGGCCTGTCTTCAGGAGGACTCGCCTTTCATGTCTGGTGCTGTTGCTGCTGTTTTGAGATTATTAGTTTTTGAACAAGCTCATTTCATTACAATGACCAGGAAACGGTGCAGCATTTGTTGGGCGCTTACCCTGGTGCCTGTTGTTGTTTTCTGAGACAATGTTTCTCTGTAACTCTAGCTGTCCTGGGACTCACGATGGGCCTTGAGCTCAGAAATTAGCCTGACTCTGCCTCCCACGTGCCGGAATTAAAGGCTTGCACCACCATGCCCAGCTCTTTTTTTTTTTTTTAATTAAAAAATGAACGCCATAGTTTCTCCTTATCCAAGGACGTACTCCTGGACCCACCACAGATGCTGAAAGTCACAATCCACGCATGCCTATGACCAAGCTTAGTGAATAAATTAGGTATGGCAAGAGATGAGCAATAATTGATAAGAAAATAAATAATTATGAGCCTGTACAATAATAAAAAAGATGCAGACATGTATTTGAAAAATACTGTTCATTCTCAACCTTATCCTTCTGTGGTAACACGGGCTGCACCGTATCTGTGTGTTGAGATAAGTGGGCTGAGTGACACAGGCCTTGTGACATAACTGTAGGCTGCTGTGGCAGCTGAGACAGCGGCGAGGTGACTGGCGTAGGTAGCACACACTGTAGATACCCTGAATAGAGGGACGGCTGGCCTGGGTAGGAGGGCACAGGCGTTAATCGAAGGACATGTGATTTGGAAGTTGTAAGTTACTTATTTCTGAAATTTACTATTAATATTTTTGGCCCCCAGATGACCACGGGTAACTGAGACTGCCACCAGGAAGGACTGTTGTTCCCCAAGGGGTAGAATCAAAGGACACACTTGCTAGCTGTACATTTAGCTACAGTCCATATGGTCACTCTGTGAAGCTAGTGTGGATGCACACCCTCACACACACCACACATCCCTTCCCAGTCTGACTCCCAGGAGAGCCACATGTGTGCGCGCATGTGTGTGCATGTAAGTGTGTGCATGTGTATGCGTGTATGTGTGTGTGCGTGTACATGTGTGTGCATGTGTGCGTGTGTATGTGTATATGCATGTGTATGCGTGCACATGTGTATGCGTGCATAGCATTCATCTCTGAAGGACACAGACGGTGCTGTGCTACGGGCACATTTTGTTCCTGTGCCTGCTGCCCACGGTGGTTTGCGTTATACTCCAGAACTAGGCGTGGGTGGACGGGGCCCTCGAGTCCCTGGTTAGTGCCCTGATCCTCTCAGTGAATCTTTGGAGTCAGGTGCTTCTTCCTATAGTTTCAGATTAACACGTTAGTCCTCCCTGGGACTCAGGAAGCAGACTCCCGTGGAGACAGGAAATGCCCGTGGTAGGCATGGGGCATGAAACTGACATTGGAAAACCCTATAAAGGTTCATCCTGACTGCCTCCTTCAGACTGGGCCACCCTATCTGTGGTGTGAAGCCAGAAGAAAAGCAGGTTCTAACCTTGAAATGTGCGGGGCACAGAATCTGTATGCTCTCCAGGTACCTCGCTCTGGGATTTGTCTCTGATTTTGATTGGTTGCCTGAATCAAGGATCCTGAAGGATTTACTCAGAACATTTGAATTCTTACTCAACAAACCCAGGTTCGACATCCCCAGAGCCTGGGAACAGCTTCAACCATCTACTTGACAGAAAACCAGCCTTTCAAGTGTCCCCAGAACAAACGCCACAGCCTGGGAGCAGAGGACACCTCTGCCCCCTGGTGGTCAGTCACCAAATCATCACGGAGCCCTCTGGGAGCAGGATTTCCTTGGACAGCAGCTTTGACACCGCAGGCAAAGACCTTTCATACGGAATACAGCATGCTGTCCATCACCTCAAGGCCTCATGGCTTCCTCTCCTGATAGGCTCTTCCTGTAGCTCATGCCATAGCTGTCAGTCCAACTGTCACCTCCACAGGAAAGCCCTCATGAACCCCTTTGTCTAAACAGCACCTCATTGCTCTGTCTGTCCTACTCCATGTCTGCTGACTCTATCTCTCCAGATTTCTTTGGGAAATCGGGACTCCCGTCTGTTGTATTGCTACCAATCCTCAGTGCAATGTGCATCAAAGGCATCAACAATACTTGCTGAAGGAGTAAATGAGTCTGTCCGCAGCAGCAAGTCCGCAGCACCTAAATGGATCTTCTAGTTGGGGACCTTGGGACGGCTCATCCAGCAGATGGATGCGCCGAGGCCTGCCTGGTCAGTTGTGGGAGTTGTTTGAGCACCTGGGAAGCAGGAACAATCATTTTTGTCTTGTGTCCTCAGTTCTCCCTGGAAGAAGCTGCGGGAAGAAGCTCGGTTTGTGTCCTGGCTCCTCAGCTTGGCCACTGAGGGAAGCAGGGCTGTAACGCAATCCTCTAGCTACAGGTCCGAGGGCTCAAGGACTGTAGAGATGAGCAGAAAGGACTGTGCCAGGGGAGAGGAGGCCGAAGAGCTTGAGCCGTTAAGAGTCCTGGATTGTGGCATTCTCTCTTGCTGCAGCCTCCGGGCTCGGTAGGGGCATGCAGGGGGCTGGTGGAGGTGAGGTTGCAGTCAGCGTCCTGCCCAACTGCCGGTGGGGCTGAGGACGAGCCCAGAAGTCAGCAGCATCTGCTCTTTGGCTGGCCTGGTGAGAGCTTGATGGAGTCCACAAGGTGACTCTCTACAGCGCCTTGGTACTGGGGAGGAAAGAGGAGTCACAGCCTGAGACCTAAAAACCCTGGCTTGTGGCTTCTCAGCGGGCCCCGAGAGCTGTGCCTTCCATCTTTTCTGTGATGTTATTGGGAAACCAAGGACCAGAAGGGAAGCCCGAGCCGTCCCACATTGTCCCTTTCCCTCCCTGTCCTGCTTCTTCCCAGGAGTCCAGAGAGTTTCTGTGGAAGGGCTACAGGAGCTCAGCCACCTGAATTCTAGTCTCAAAACTTCTCATTCCCCAAAAGGGACAACTGAGGTAACATTTGAGCTTTGGCAGAGATGGACAGCTGGCCCCTCATCTCTGATGGATACTTGTTCCCACAAACATTCCAATGCCTGTTATCGGAGGCTGTTAGTTTGTTTCTGGCTGCTCAGTCCCAAAATAATCACACAGAAGCTATGTTATTTGTAATATTGTTTGGCCAATAGCTTAAACATATTGCTAGCTAGCTGTTATATCTAGAATTAACCTGTTTCTATTATTTTATATTTTACCACAAGGCTCGTGGCCTACCAGCAAGGTTCCAGCTGGCAGCTTGCATCTTTCCCCGCTGGTGGCTACATGGCATCTCCTGACTCCGCCTTCTTTCTCCCAGCATTCAGCTTAGTATTCCTTGCTTAGCTCTACTCTGTCCTATCACAGGCCAAAACAGCTTCTTTATTCATTAACCAATAAAAGCAACACATAGACAAAAGTACTTCCCACACCAATACCCCCAATATTCTCTGTGCCCAGGGCCCTACCTGTCTCTTCTGGCATCTGAAGGAGCCTACCTGTCCCATGAGGTCCCCATCCCAGGTATAGGGAGACTTGCCTTACCAGTTCAGTGTCTCCATGCCAGCTTTTTCCTCTCTGCCAACTATCCAAACTCCTGCCCCCCAAAACACCAGAGAAGGCCCCTGCCCACCAACAAGCTCCTTGGTGCCCACCTGGCTTCCTTTTTAAGAACCTCCATCCTTTGCTTCCAGAGAAGGCTAAGATTTCTCCAAGGCCATGGATTCTTTCTTAATTTTTTAAAGTCAGGGTCTCCTTATGGTTGGAAATATCAACCCTCTGTCCTTTGCCTGGGCATTAGGGTCACAGGCTCTAAAGCCATGGGTAACACAGACAGAAAGGCTGCTGTTGCTGCTTCTGGATTTCTTTTTATTTTTTAATTGTGTGTACTGGTGTGAGCCTACATGTGGGTGTGTGCATACAGTGTTGAGTCTCAAAGGGGCAGAGTTCAGGGGTCAGATACCCTGGAGCTAGAGCTGTGGAAGCTGCGATCCACCTGACATGGGCACGAGACCCAAACCTGGGAAGAGCAGAAGGTTCTGTTAACCACTTCTGCTTCCCTCTGTTTCTCTCATGTGTCCCACTCCTGAGTCTGAGCGCTGTAGGGCCCCATTCTGAACCCCCGCGTGACAGCTCAGGGAATGTTTATGAGATGGGACGCTTTCATTCTATACACAGGGAATCAGGCTCAGGTCAGGCATATGTTTTGACAGGCATGCATGTGAAGTTACTAGGACAGGACCTTCTCCAGGTCAGTCTGATGGTGGACACCATGCCTATGACCTCCAGGCCCCAGCTCAGTCTCCTACACAAGTATCAGGAACTGCAGTGACTTGCCAAGCTCTTCTTTTGCAGAGAAAGGATGTTAGCTAGCACAAGCAGAACACGCACTGCCAATGACTTCACGTGATGAAAGTGACATTGTAGGAAGGATATATCTTAAATCCAATTTAATAGGAAGGGGAGGACACTCTCTCCCCTGAAGGACAGCTGATTCCTTGTGACTGTTTGGCAATAATTGCACCACATAACCCTGCTAAGTTCTGATAAGCTGTCCTGGCTAACGGTACAGGCACGCTCACCTGCACCTTGGGAACCTGCTTTCCTGCCTGTGGCAAAGCCACACTCGTGGGCCGTGCACTGAAATAGGTGCTCTCTGCTGTTCTTTCTCAGGAGGCAGTGTGAGCTGGAGGCTGACCTGAGGTCCAGCTGGGTCATGTGAACAGAGAAAGCTCTTAACTTCTCTTGTGCAGCTGCTGGAGGCAAATTCTGCTTGTCCCCAACAGGGTCTTGAGACCTTTTCTTCGGGACAACAAGGGTCATGCAGGCCGTCAGTCACTCACAATGAGGTCAGGGTGATGGCAGTCATTCAACTTAGGGGTGGCTCCAAGCTCCTAACCTCTCCTAGTTCATTTCCTCATTTAAAACCATTGCTCTGACAATGATTACTTTCTGTTTGGTTGAGACAGGGTCTCTCTGTGTAGCTCTGGCTGCCCTGGAACTCATCATGTAGACCAGGCTGGCCTCGAACTCACAGAGATCTGCCTGCCTCTGCTTTAATACCCAAGTACCGGTATTAAAGGCACATGACACTATGCCTGTTCCTTCTCTTAAGAAACCTCTCTTAATTCGAGTTGGCAGAATGAGGTAACCAGAAGATTTCCAAGTTGTGCCAAACTTTCAAACCCCCACATTGCAACATTAAAGTTGTGCCATTAGCTGGGCCTGGTGGCAGACACTTGTGACCCCAGCACTGTAGAGGTGGAGACAGGGAGGACTGAGAATCAGAGCTTAGTCTGGGCTGCAGAGTGAGACCTTGTCTCTAAAAACCAAATCAAAACACACAGAAGTGAGCTCACAATAGATCAGCCCCACTGTCTCCGTGGGTGGGTGCACCCCTCGTGGTCCTGACTTCTTTGCTCATATTTTCCCTCCTTCTGCTCCTTGGGAACCCTGACTGCCCTTCAGACTGGAGAGGGAGGGGG